ATAATCAAAATACTGAGACCGCCATTTATTCTGCCGCACCCGTTATTAATGAAAAAAGTATTTAATACATAATCTTGACTATTTTTTTTTAATTTTTTAATATATGTTCTTGAATAATTTTTTTTCGAAAAAAAACAGGAGGAGACTAATACTATTAATGCAATAAAAATAATATATAATTTTGGCTAATTTTTTTTCGAAAAAAACTGAGGAAAATTTGTTATTATTAATAGTTGATAAAATAACCACAATTGTTATAAGTTTTCTTGTATGAAATAGAAGTTTTATGCGAAAATATAAAGTACTTTATTATTTGTTAGAGTTGAAAAAAATCGAAGAAAATGTTAGAAACAAAATACGATAAATCTGGCTCAACTGCTTTCTTTAAGATTTGAATATTCGATTATTTCAATAGTTTCTTCATCATTAAGAAATTTATACGAATGTTTATGCAAAATGTGCGATGACGATCTAAGAATAAGACACGAAGAACATTTTCGAATGTAAATATTCGGAATTGTTGAGAATGTTGTATTATTTGTTTTACATTGTAATAAATGATGATGTTCTGGCATTTCATCAATAAGATCTTCCAATAATACAAATATTTTTCCATTATCGTTTGGATCACTTACGATTGCTCTAATAAGTCCTAATTAATATGGTAATGCAATTGAACTAATGAAAAATTGTGAACCATTTGTATTTGGACCAAAATTAACCATTGATAATAGACCAGATTTATTGTGCTTGTTATTGCAATTTTCATCAGCTAATGTTTTATCATATATACTAAAGATAAAAATTATAATTCATATGTAAATATTTTAAATGATTAATTTACGTTTCACCATCTGAACCATCACTATTTAAATATAAAAAGAAAATCATATTTATGAAATAAAATTTTATTTTGTAATTAACTTACAAATTTTGAATATCAACACCTATCAAATCAATTAATAATAATAATAATAATAAAGAAAAATATGAATAAAAATCATTACCTCTAATGATGTATTGCGGAAATATATGACTGAATTTGCTGTCGACATAACAAAGAAAATTTTCGCCTATACATAAAGCACGAAAATTAGCTGAAAATAAAATAAATATATTTTTTTTTAATCAAGGAGATCTTCTTTTTCTTAATATACCTGCTGTTCTTTGAACGTTCTGGAAGAGCTGCAAAAAAAATCCACAAATATTTATTTTTGAAGAAGATATTGCTCAGTTTTACTTGAAACATAATACGACCAATTATTTTATTTTCAACCCAGGTCTATGGATACGGCTATCCGTATTTTCACCGTAAATTTGCTTCATACGACACCGTAAACGGACCGTCTTTTCTCGTAATCATGGGCGCAGTAATACGGCACCGTATACGAGGCCGTATTTTCACAGTATACGGCCGTATACGGGGCGTAATCTCATTATGATAAGGCCGTATTTCTGTACCCGATATTACGGCCGTATACGGTCCGTTAATGCGTCGTAAGGTAACCGTAAAGGGTCGTTTACGGACCGTATCGTTCGACCTGGGAATGGAAATATCCATATACACATATGAAGACAAACTAGTAGAAGAAATGTGTTTTATATAAACATTCAAAATGAACAGCTCGATACTCACTTAGATGCTGAGGGCAATAAGACTTTATCTTCAATCATGAATACCTTGGGCAAAATTTGTTGCATTTTTTTGCTCAATGATTGACAAAATTCTTCACGTTTAACTAGTTCTCTACAAAAACAAAAGCATTTTAGATTGTATAGGCGTGATAGCTTTAAAATTACCCATTATCACAATAAGATGATTTCATTATTTGAACATATTTTATTGATGATAACTAAAAGACGACTTTTCGAATAAATGGTTATATGACTTTCTCAGTACTTACCATAAAGCTCATCGTATATGCATCCATCCAAAATTGATGCGTTACCTGTAATTGCTGATTATTTTTTTGGTAAGTTGTAATTATTTTACCATCTTGTCCAATCTAGAAAACAAGTTATCATGAAAACAGGAAAATAAAAATACAAAAATCAACGTTACTAATTCTTGTTTCCATACAAAACCGTTCTTCATGAATATGAGTTTCCATAAACAAACAAAAGAATAATTGATATTCTTCTCAATTATAGAAGTCATATTGACTTTTATATTGAATAAATTCACGAATATATAAATCTAAAACATAAATAAATTGAAGTCTGAGAACTCTTCCATAGGAAGAAACAATAATTTAATACGAAAAAAAACAAAAAAGCATTTAAAAGAAAAACAATGATTTGAAATAAAATACTTGGATGCAACTTCTCGAACAGTATCAAGAATTGTATTTGGATGAGTACCATTCAATGTTTTTCTATTCTCGCTTCACATCATTACAACAAGATTATCGTTTATATCATTACTATCATCATCTTTCTACAAAACAAAAAAAAGATAATATGAATTATTCTCCTATAGATTTGATTTACAAGTGGTTTCTAATTTAAAGTAAATCGTCCTTCCGTAGTAACATTTTGTTGCTTCAAGTGAATCTTCTGGTCTTGTTCATGGAGAAAAAACATTCAGCGGAAATTGAACTTGACTTAAACCTTGACTATTTTTAAAAACTAATTTATATATATACTACAATATTCTCGTTTGACTTTATGATTCAATAATGTAACAACATCATCCAATGTCTAAAAGAAATACTTGAAAGAACATTTGATTTCATAGAAAAAATGTTTTACTTTAACATCAACATGATCATCACTAATTAATTCTTTATCATCAATTAACCATTATGCTTATGCTTTTCGTGTAACTTTATAAAGTATATGTAATTGAAAAATCTTGACCAACTTTTATTGTTATATCTTTAATACTATGTAAATCAAGAAATGATGGTTTAATTGGTACCCCTACACTTCGTCCCCTACTTTTCATCCCGTTACTTTTCGTCCCATTCAATTCGTCCCAATTACATTTCGTCCCCTTACATTTCGTCCCATATTGTAACTATTCATTCTCAGTATAGCAATATGAGATAAAGTTTATTTTAATAAATTTAACTGCTTTAAAACTGATAAGTCCTTATCACATGTGAATATTACCATAGAATCATCTTCATATAGAATAAAACTTTCTCCTCGATCAGTTTGTCGTAATATTAAAGGTAAACGACCATTATGATCAAGTTGCATTGCTGGTCGTTCACATCGAATCGTTTGCAACAATGCGTCATTTGTAGGTAAATCAGTAGTTATAGTTAATGGAATTGTCCGTAATACATCAAATAGTATCGTACTAGCTTCTTCATCTGATGATGCACCACGACTTTTAATTTCATTTTTAAGTCGAATGAGGTGCAGTCGATCTGGATCAGGTACATGAGAATGTTCAGATGGTTCTTTGAGTAATACTTCCATCTGACTATTCGTTTGACAACGATCAAAACATAATATCAAGCAAAGTTAAAAGATTAAATTGAACGATTTACACTTACTTCTACAATTTCGATCTTCGCAACGAAATATACGTTTTTCTTCTGTTATTCGATGTTGAGTGTACAAATATTCTGAAAAATATATCATTGAATTTCCTCGAGAACTCTTTCATACCTCAATAGTATTCATATTTTTGTTTATACTATTTGTACAAATTTGTACAAAATGCCAATAACTACGAGCGCACGTGGTTGAATGACAAATAGAAAATTAATCTCGATAAATATGTAGAATAGAAAAAAGGAATATATTCATTGTTCATTGGTCGTTTATTATCGCGATGATTCACTAGACGCGACGATAAGTATTTACACGACATCTAATTAAAATAACTAAAAGTTGATCTTAGCAAAGATATGAGACGAATTGTAATTGGAACGAAATGTAAGGGGACAAAATGAACTTGGGACGAATTGTAAGGGGACGAAATGTAATTAGGACAAAATGTAATTGGGACGAAATGTAATGGGACGAAATGTAATTGGGACGAATCGTGTGGGGCGAATTGAACGGGACGAAATGTCATGTACCGAAGTGAGCAGTCACCGGTTTAATTATGTGTGAAAAGAAAAAGATATTTTGTTAATATGATCATTTTGCAGGTAAAATATGAAACTCAATACTTCGTATGAACTAAGAGAGATACATATTTAAAGGAGTAACAACATATATTAAGACTAGATTTTTTTATTCTTCATCGCTTAATTCTTTTCTTGAATGTACTCACTAATCTTTGATCCTAATTATTAAGAGAAAGAAGGACTGGAAAGCTTACACTTCGATTTGTAAATCGATAATGAAACTAGAAGAATGTGTACCCATATGATCTTCAATGATAACTACATCTGTTGGTCGACTTAACTCACTTGGATGAACTACATTGAGAGGTTGAACATGAAATGAAACTTCATCATCTTCTTTTAAATTCAGAATAGTATATGAATGATCTCGTGCAGGTAATTCTGTGACTTCAGTCCAATCACGACTAGACAGACAAAAAAAAATTTTTAAGATAGAAATATTTTTTTCAATTAACCTACCAGGTGATCGTTTTTCAATAATATAACTAGTAATTCGACTATCACCATCATTTCTTGGGTTTTTTTCCATGAAAGTGTGATAGAATCTTTCATAATTTTTTTTTGAACTTTTGGTTGATCTAGTGTATCAGCTGGATACATCGGTACTTCAGCTTTTTGTGCTTTTGTTGGTTTTGACGGTATTTCTAATTCAACATCATTAATAACAGCAACACGAAATTCATATGTTTGAACTTCATCTAAACTCTATGCAGTATATTGAGTAGCTTTAGTAGGAAAACTATTACATGGTATCCAGTTATTACTATCATGTTCACACATTTCAATATTATAACTAACTAGCGAGAACCCGTGCATACTGCACGGCTGTTTTATACGTTAACGCATGACCTCAGACATTTAACTTTTCATCCGGTAAAATACATACAGACATTCGATATTATGTATATAGATAAGTTGCCCTGCGACCTCATACCTTCATATCGCATATATTTTTATAGTTCATGCAGCCTTCGGCCTTATATTCCTTGTAGCCTTATCTCCCTATTCCTTTACTCCCTTCAAGGCCTATGCATATCACAATATAATAGCCCTTGGGGACTTATGGATACCCCCATAGGATAGCCCTTGAGGACCTATGGGTACCCCCATAGGATAGCCCGTGGGGACCCATAAGTACCCCCATAGCATAGCCCTTGAGGACCTATGGGTACCCCCATAGGATAGCCCTTGGGGACCCATAAGTACCCCATAGCATAGCCCTTGAGGACCTAAGGGTACCCTCATAGGATAGCCCTTGAGGACCTATGGGTACTCCCATAGTATAGCCCTTGAGGACCTATCGGTACCCCCATAGGATAGGGTGTGAGTGGGTGTGGGTGTGGGTGTGGGTGGCTGTGGGGTGTGGGTGTGGATGGATGTGGGTGTGTGTGGGTGTGGGTGTGGGTGGGTGTGGGTGGGTGTGTGTGGGTGTGGGTGTGGGTGTGGGTGGGTGGGTGGGTGTGTGGTGTGGATGTGGGTGTGACACTCAATCGCAGTCATACCCAAACCCCATTCGCACTCACACCCACACCCATATTCGAATTCACACCTACACTCACACCGACACTCCATACCCACACCCCACACCCACACCCACACCCTCAAGCTGACCTTCTCACTTGTTTCTCTAACAAAAAGTCAAAAAAAAACGAAAGAACAGTTAAATAAAAATATTTCTTTATTTTTTATTTCTAAGTTGTAACTCATAAATTTTCATTCAACTTAGGGTTTCAATTATAAATCTGTATAAAACAAAGTGTTTTCAATTCGACTGATTATGTCTGTCCATTTTCCTCCTGAGATCTTCAAGATATTCGCTAACGTAATATGAATATCATCATTACTAATTTCTGTTGAATGAAGTCGTATCAGTTTTCCCCACTCAATATAAAGCTTATGCCTCTTTGCTGTCACACTTTGATTTGAATTTAGTGAACTATCAGATAAATTGTCAGATGACGCGATAATGACAGCGTGTGTATTTTTTGTTTTGCACGGTGGTGGTAGTTTTTTTTTTTTTCTTTTCAAATAAATTGAGATTCTAATGACAGAGTACGTCAAAGATAAGAAAAGTTACTCGCGGGTATTGGAATGGATAAGAATATTCGAAGAGTTTTTCCAATTGGATTATAAACATCAGCGGAATCGATTTTGTAGTATCTGCAAAACTCAAAATGAATCACGATAATTAACTAAATACCACTATGATATAATACTTTCAATTACGATATTTACTTCCTTACTTCATATAAACCTCATTGTAGAAGTGCTGCTTTCTTTCAGTTTTCTATAACATATACATGTATATGTCAACATGGAATCCATGACTACTGCCCTCCCCCTCCCAGACAGTTGTTATCCGAATATCTCCTGCTCAACAAGCACTTTGTTAAAATGCTTAATCAGTTGAACTATAAATATATATATTCAGATCAGATACAAATATCACCATCATTCACATTCTCATCCTCGCCCTTGCCCATAAACTCATTTTGCCTTTCATTATTATTGCTATTCCTATAATCTTCAATATGGCGGAAAAAACTCTTGTGAATCTTGCTGTTGCGAAAAAAATATAATGGAAGGAAGTTTGAACGTTCCATGTTAGCGTCAAAATAATTTCATATTTATTATCCTTTGTGTTCATCAAAACAATTTCTCTTGTTTTTGGAATTGTACACTATTGCTCGTTTTTCATTATGAAAATTTTACAGCTGCAAATTGGAAAGAATTTGTGCAAAAATTGTAAACGACAAAATAAATTTGTTTGTTCTCTCTATATGACGTCTTTCTAATCCAATCTTTTGAAGTGGAAACTCTCACTACGATATCGGATTTAAGTCCCGTCACTTTATCTCCCTGATCTTAGCTAAAAATAGAAACTAATGATGTCTAGACAAGTATTTTCATCAAAATAATTTTTTTTTGCGTTTTACTCTTCTTATCGGAACGCAAAACTAGAGGATGATGCTTTGATAAGTTTCCCCAAAATCATCATTTGATCTCTAGTACAGAATTGAAATTTTCTCGGAAATAATTGGTTGTTTAATGAAAAATTGACAAGTGCATTTTCCATGAAAATTTCGAAAAATGTTGTGTAGTAAGAAACATTGTCACGAGCTTTTCGACACGTTGCTAGTACTTTCGAACCAATATTC